TTTTTGTTAGATTTATGTTGAGTATCAAGAACAAAGAGCCCAGCAGGATGATTTAAAATGTTTCGAGTTTGACCAGAAAGTAAGCTCCAGTAATACTGTGGCCTGCAAAGAAGGAACAGAGAATTGGTCACTGAAAAGACTAGCAAGAAAAAGCCAAGTATTTCAGAAGAGAACAATAGAAAAGATGGCTTGAGGACATCATAAGAACTAATAGGACTCCACATTTTGCAGCCTCAAAACTGCAAACATGAAATACTTTTCTTTGAGAAGAGAGCCCCAGACCACCATGTTCCAGTATGGTGGAGACCTAGGGAAGTTGTTCCTTGGGATTTGGTTAATAGGCACTTGACCCGTACAGCCAAAAGGGAAGGAAACTTGGCTACTGCTTCAGCTTGTGGCAGATCTTCGCATCATCCACATGATGCTGGTTTTAAGTCCATGCAGCATGGAAGAGTTGTGGAGTCAGAGGGGCTTCCACCCGGATTTCAGAAGATGATCTGGCAGGTCAGGCGGTGTGTCCCTGAGAGGGCAGTGTGTGAGGCTGTGAGTGTTAAGCCGAAGGTACAGTGGAAACCCCAGATGTTTGGAGAAGTCAGGAACATGGATCATTTGAGGAATACTGGAAGGAGGGAGCAGAGCCAGCCTAAGAGAGAAGCTATGGGAACTATAACCACTGGCAGTTCTATAGGGGTGGGACCACACAAGCCCTTTGGCGTTCATATCTTGCCACAGATTGGCTCACATGCTGGACATGGAATTACATGGACTTGAATGTTTGCCCTGCTTGATTTTGGATTTGCCCTTATTTGTACCTTTTGGAATGGAAATACTTACCTTGTGCCATTATATGTTGAAAGTGTTTAACTTTCTTTTCATTTGTACACGGGCTCTCAGCTAAGAGTTTGCCTTAAATCTCAGAAGAGATGCCAGGTTTGGTGGTGCACCCATGTAAACCCAGCACCTGAGAGGCTAACACAGGAGGATCACCATGAGTTTGAGGCCAGTCTGGGCTACCTAAGCAACTTCAAGGCTAGTCTGCACTACACAGTGAGACCCTGTCTCTAAAAAACCAAAAACCAAAACAAAACAACAACAAAATACAACTCAGAGGAGACTTTTGACTTGGACTTTTCAGCAATGGTGAAACTATTGGGACTTTTTTTTGGTACTGGGAATCAAACTCAGGACCTTGCACCTGCCATGCAGGTGCTGCACCACTGAGGTATGTACTTGGCCCTGAAACTATTGGGACTTTGGCAACTCTTAGAGATGGGCTACTTTCCTTTCTCATAAAGGGGGGGTACATGGGTTTGGGGGGCTGGGGTATTATGGCTTGTTTCTAGATGAGCTTATGTGGTCATTTGTGGGGCTTCTCAGGTGAGGCTAGAAGTGTGATGCTGAGGTCAAGGGTGTGTGATTACTAAGTTATTCCCGTTTGGCACAGTTCTGGGAGAAGATTGTAGTTGGGCCCTCCCTGGTTGTCGTTGCTACTCCTCCCCAAAGGATAGGTAGCCTGGATAAAATATAAAGGACAAAAAAGGGGTCTGTTGTTGTTTGCTGTTTGTTGCCTTCTGCCTGCCATGAACTGTTTCTCCTTTGCTATGCCACCCTGCCTGAGAGCAGCCAGCTATGAACTGAAACCCGTGTAAACTATGAGCTAAATAAACTTTTTCTCCTGTAACTTTGAGGGTAGGGTATTTTGTCTCAGCAATGAGAAAAGTAACTAAGACACTCCCTCTGCATATTGTACAGACAATCATAAACATTGAGAGTGGTATTTTGCTTGTTTGTTTTTTTGAGACAGGGTCTTGCTATGCAGTTCAGTCTGGTCTTGAGCTCACATTGTAGCCCAGGCTGGCCTCGAACTAGCAGTGATCCTCCTGCCTCAGCCTCCAGAGTGCTGGCATTGCAGGTGTGAACCACCATGCCTGGTGAGAGTATTTTCTCTGAAATAAAGATCTTGTTTCTCCTTCCTACACCTGCCTTAGTGCAGATTATACCATAACCTGTATTTTTTTTTCCAGTTACTGTTTTTGTTGGGGAGAGGGTAGTATATAATTCTTCCTCCCTTCTTCTTTTCATTTTCATCTCCTCCAATTGAAGAATGCAAATATTAGTCAGAAAGAAGTACTTAAATGAAAAAAATTTCTTTCAGTTTTTAACTTAAATAAACCTACAGACATTGTTTTGTAAGACTGAGAACCTAAATTTCTAGAGTTACTGAAGATCAAAATGGTTTTTGATGCCGGGCGTGGTGTCGCACACCTGTAATCCCAGCACTTGGGAGGCTGAGGCAGGAGGATCATTGCAGGTTCGACACCAGGCTGGGCTACAAAGTGAGCTCAAGGCCAGCCTGAACTGCATAGTGAAACCCTGTCTCAAAAAAGACCAAAAAAAAAAAAAAAAAAAAAAGGTTTTTGAGATACCCACTAAAGCAGTGGTGGCAAACCTTTGGCACATGTGCCACAGTAGGCTGTTTGTTTCATTCAGAGCTCTGAAAGGTTCACCATTTCTTCTCTGAAGATTTTGGTAAGTATTGAAATATTGCTGTCTGGAAACATAAAACATTTTATTGTATCCTTACTGGTACTGTTTATTTCATTGGCATTTTACAGTTGTAGATAATTATGGGGTAAAATTTGATGCTTATTTTTGTTTTTAAAACTAATTGTTAGTATGGCAAGTGATTTTAATTTTCTGTTCTTTGTTTGTTTGTTTGTTTTTGTTTTTTTCTGGTACTGGGAATCGAACTCACGACCTCGTGCTTGCCAGGCAGCCACTGTGCCACTGAGCTAAATCCCCAGTCCCCAAGTGATTTGAATTTATAGTCTTATTTAGTAATCAGTTTTAATACTACTTTAATGGTATTCACTATTTATTGAGTATTTTCCTGATTGCCATAAACAGAATAAGTAATATTTTATGTGTATCACATATTTTAATCCTCTGAGCAACTGAATTGTAGATACTTTTACAGTTTTGTAGGGGAAGAAACTGATTTTATAGGGGGAAAGTGACTTAGTGACTTGTTCACTGCTTTTTGGCTAGGGAACTCAGATTCTCTGATGTCTTATTGTACTGTTACCTCTCACTTTTGTTTGTATAAATGAAAAATATTTTGTATTATAAGGAATTGGATTAAATGCATACCTTGACTCTCAAGTATAGATATCTGTGATTTGTGTAGTTCTCTTAAAAGCAAAATAATTAAATGTGGTTATTGGTGGTGAGCATATTTTAAGTTTTGTTCCATTGAGATTATTGTCTATAAAGGTTTAAAGCTGTAAGTGTTCTTAAGTTTTTTTCAAATTGTGTTTGCACAGTGTCTTGGGAAATTTTTAAAAATGCTGATCAAATAAGATTGGGCCACACTTAATATTTTCCTCTAGTAAAGAAATTTAACTTCATCCTAAAGTTTCTCAAATGAATCTGTGTACTCTGTTTTTGGCACTGGTGAGGATCAAACTCAGAGACCCATGTGTTCTAGATGCTTTTCCATTGAATTGCAATTGCAGACTTGTGCAGTCCTTTCATAGTAGACCTAATCACATTTTGTGGAACAGCATTTTGATGTACACCAGTTTGAGACAAAGCTGATGTGGTCTATCTCTTTATTCTGTAAAGAGAGAAAATGTGTTTTGGTGTGTTGCTTCTTATACTTACTAAATGGCAGGGCCAGAATAAGCTTCAGTTCTTTCTTTGGACCATGTTTACTTTTTACTTCTCATACATCCATTAAAAAGTTGTAAGGGGCTGGGTATTTAGCTCAGCGGCAAAGCGCCTGCCTGGCAAGCACAAGGTCGTGAGTTCGGCTGCCAGTATCAGAGAAAAAAACCAGAAAAAAGAAAAAAAGAAAAAAAAAGTTGTAGAGCAAGCCAGGTGTGGTGGCACAAGCCTGTAATCCCAGCACTTGGGAGGCTGAGGCCAGGAGGATTGTTGCTAGTTCGAGGCTAGTCTGGGCTACAAAGTGAGCTCAAGGCCAGCCTGGACTGCATAGCGAGACCCTGTCTCAAAAAAAACAAAAACAAAAAACAGACCAAAAAAAAAGTTTTAGAGTAGACTTAACTGCAGTTTTCTTCATGTTATCATCTATTGCAGTTACTAGT